AAGGAAAAAAAAAAAAAAAAACACTGCAAAAACCGTGTACGATCAATCTTGCTCAACGTCGTATCCAAAAAGATCGTGATCAGTCAAAATAGATCAAATTGACAACGTTACAGTCAAGAAGACTTTAGCAGGGACTGATCGAATAACGTGATATCGTGTAAATTCGTGATATCTCAATAAACCTGATGAAGACTGGTATTGGCCAGTGGAAATATCGCAACTAAACTCTATTTCACGTTGTTTGATCAGTCCCTGCTAAAGTCTTCTTTACTGTAACGTTTTCAATTTAATCCGAGAAAGTTCATTGGGATACAAGTTTTCACATTCCGGATTGGAAATCTCCGAACGCGCTACCAAATCGGGACGTTTTTATTTCGGATTCCTCATCTGCGTGTAATATGGTACAAAAATGTCCAGAATGCCCCGGAGTCGTCTCGAATCCAGAAAACTCTCCTCTAGCGTTACTGGTAGGTACATTACAATAATCGTATATGCAGTACGTACCGTTTTTGGGACAGCACCCGCTGACCAGTGAGCCCAAGGGAATGCACTTACTCTTGTGGGGATCTTCCTGCATTTTGAATCATGAATTTTCCTATTCCAAATGATCTTACTTTCCAGAAATACTATATTGAAAAATATGGATCAATCGAAAAATTAATCGATAAGGCAAAGAATGGCGAAATCCACGCCCAAGCAGATTTGGGATGGGCTTACTCGGAGGGTTTTGGCGATCTCTTGCCGCAAGATAACGACAAAGCAATCGGATGGCTTAGCACTGCTATAGATAAGGGTTATGAATTGCCTCATACCCTAGGAAAACTTGGGGAGTTACTAGATCGGAAAGGAACGATACGACATCAGCAGAAGGCTTATGAGATGTACCACAGGGCAGCGAAACTGGGGTGCACAAATTCACAATTCAATCTTGCAGAAATGTACCGATGTGGAGTTGAGGGGGTCGTGAACGAGGACATAAAGGAGGCTTTTAAATGGTATAAAATGGCCGCTGATGAAGGTGCGAGTGATTATAAATTGGGAACAGTGCAAAGATTGCTGGCTGGAACGATGAGAAAACTGGGAGACGACTCAAAGCTAAGGTCTCTGAAATGTCTGTGTAAGTATTATCTTGAGGGTGAATGTCCGGAAGGCCGTCCACAGCCAACTAAAGCAATTTATTATTTGACAAGAGCAGCTGAAATAGGCGATACTGAGGCTCAATGTACCTTGGGGCAGATATACTTAAATGGAAGTTGTGAGCAAATCAAAGACGTTTCAAAAGCAAGAAGGTGGCTCGAGAAAGCGTCCGCAAATGGTGATGCCGTGGCAAAACAGGTCGGTCTAATATGGATCTTATCAATGTGTTAAAAATCTTTTACACGTGTTATTTGAATTTGAAAATTGCATGTGTATTGGTTTTGTTAGCAGTAACAAGTGATTTTTATTGGCCTCATGGGCCTTCTTGGCTCATGGTTACCTTAATTTCATAGGGGCCCACAAAACTACCTTTCTGCTTTAATAACCACACAAATCGTGTAAATAAGTTGACAAATTGGCAACTTGAATTTTAGATCACACCTCAACAGGGCTCAAAAATATTTTGACCTGGTCGTGAGACAAGTAGATTTTCCTACTGAGGAAGTAACTGTATGTACATGCCTACTTTCCCAAGAGGCAAGGGCCCATGCCAGTCACATTCTAGCAAATTCATAAGGCCATCCTCTTTTTTTTCTCCGTTTAGCATCGTGTGACCAACCCAAATTTTTGTCATTTTCAAAAAAAAAAAGGTAATGACGTAGTAAGTTAAACCATTTTTCACTAGGAATAATTCTTTTAATCCATCTGAAAAATGATCATAGTAACACCATAGAGAAAAACAGGAAAATTTTTTACAGCAAATTGTACATTTTGTTAATCCAGTAATGTGAAAGTTAACTTTTAATGTCGTCCCAGGGTACCAGGTCCTCCTATTCCGAGACTTCTTGTGATTTTTTTTTAGGTTTTTTTTCAATCCAACCGACCGACCCAATATCAGGAAATGCATTCGACGCTAAAGGAAAAAAAAAGGGGATGGCCTAAAATGAGACAATGGTACAATGGTTGCAGGTAGTAAAATTCAGAGCTGCTTGTTTTCAGGACCACCTGGAATTCATTTGTCTACTTGTTACATAGCAGCTTGGTAGTGTTCTGAAATGCTTGGAATCATTACGCTTATACGAACAGAAACCATCCCAGTACTTTACTCAGGGGCACCCAACAACTGTTTTCTGTAAAATATCTGTTCGGAGAAGCAAACATTGTCTAGAATATCGCTTGAATAATGCAAAAAAATTTCTAGATGAGCGTTCCATTCAGGTACAGAAAAAAAAAATTCCTACGATTTTCTGAAGTTTAATTTTTCATATTTCTTCTGAAGTTTAATTTTTCATATTTTATGTTAGGCTAATTTTGGAAAGAAAAAGGAAACCTAAACCTAGGGAAATCTGTCATTTGGGTCTGTGAAAGGGCCCAAAAGAGCTAACAGATGAATTTTATGGCTTTATAAAGTCAATAAAATGTTTCATTTTGATGATTGAGTCCTATTTGTGTTCGGTCAGTCACGTGCTAAGGTTTCTGCTGGTTTCTCCAGTGTAAGAAGCCTGGCAGTGGCAGCATTGGACCTTATATACTGCTCCCTGTCTGTCCTCCAGTTTGTCTTTGTCCTTGACATTAGTAAGCAGTCTTCGTAAAGTGGTTATCGGTTTGTGTGCAATATGTGTATTGTAAGGTTGTAACTATACATGCAATAGTTTCAGACGTGTCTGTGATGTACGGTATAGTCACTTTCTTAACAGGGCCAGAGTTGACATAGGTCTGGGTGTTGGAATCAGTGTTACTGTGAGTGTTCCGTCTAACAAAGTCCGTGTTATAATTGTTCTTACTAAAAACGTTGTTAAGATAATCAGTCTCGTCTTGTAGGCTGTCAGGTGAGTTGCAAACTAGTTGCGCTCGTCTTGTCAAAGTCCGGATAGTCGTAGCCTTGTGAGAGGTCGGGTTGTACAAAGACTGGTCTAGTAATCGGTCGGTATGTGTCGGTTTTCTGTGAATAGTCATTTGTAGTTTGTTGTTGTAGTGAGTGACCAAGCAGTCTAGAAAAGGTATCTCACCATTTTCTTCGATCTCCTTGGTGAACTGTATGTCCGCGTTCTGTCTGTTAAGGTGTTCGTGAAAATCGTCGATTCTGTCTTTGTGTACGGCTGTGAATGTGTCCTCAACGTAACATAACCAAAGAGGTATAGTTCGCGTGTAGGTAGCTAGGGCTTGTTCCTCCCTTTCAACAGAAACTGGAGAGCCCATAGCTGTACCTTGTAACTTGTGGTAGTGTTTGCCGTTGTACTGAAAGTACGTCGAAGTCAAACAGAGGTTGAGTAGGTCCATAATGTCGTCTGTGGGTAGTGGTTTTCAACAGTAGAGTTCTTAATAGTGTTAACAACATTAACCTTAATAGCGTTCTTAACAACTTATACTATCCATATTTTTTTTTTCTTAAAAAATGTTTTTTGAATAGCCATTGAAAGTAAATAACACCAATGAAAAAGGGGTCACCTTTCTTGTTTATTGCAACAATTAGAGGATAAAGGGGCAATTTTGGCGTGAAATGATGATTTTGCAAGTGACTGGGGGAAAAATTGCCATCACCTTTGATAATGCAACATTATGCACAGTTCCTGCAAAACGAGGAAATTACCTTCATGTGCACTTAATTTTTTTCAGCTTCTTAGGAAATGTGAAGAAGTGGAAGATAAACCACATACTCCATCAGAATCAAAACCAGAGGCCTTCAATCAGTCACTTGAAATCATGGCAGAAAAACTTAAGCAAAGATCAGAGGCAAAACAACACCCATTCGCGATCACTGAGCCTACTGCATTTTCAGAGGAAATGCTTAGTGAGTTTCATTGGTCCCCAACAGCACAGATTTATCTTCAGGCTTTCAGACTGGTAAACCAGGGGTTTGAAATTCTGGTCAAGAGTAACTTTGCTGATGAAAGAGGGATTTCTCTTATAGCTCTTGGGTATTTGACTGAAAATTCTATACTACAAGCTTTTCCTTATATACATCTTTCGTTGCCTGACGTTTTTCACCTTTGTGAGAAAAGCATGCATAATAACCGGAGTTTCTTTGAAGCCCTTGTGGTAGCTTTTGCCTTCCATTTTTACGAATTGAAACTTTCAAAAGAGACACATATCACTGATGAAAAAAAGGTGATGTGCATAACAAATGTGATAGATTTCATTCAAAAAGCTGAACCTAACAGCCTTCCAGCTGAAGATGCTTTTAGATTTGACCAAAGCTACAGTAGCTGGCTTCATGTCCTATATGACCACTTGGCATCACTTTATATTATTTACAATAACTATGAAGCAGCAGCTGAAGCTTTTGAAAATTCCCTGAAGTGCTGTCCAACCTATTTTCCAAGCAAAAGAGGCCTTGGGTACTGTTTATTGGCTCTGTATTCCACTAGAGTTTGCTCTGAAAAGAAAGACTCAGCTGCAGCCTCAGAAAAGTGCAAGCACTTTCAGAGTGAGGAGCAAATCGCAGAGGAGCGAGAAATTTCTAAATACCAATCCTGGACCACTGAAGAGTTGGGAGATGCGGCCAGGAAAAGATTGGAAGAGTTTCTGGCAGAAGCACCCTCTTGTTGGAAAACATACCCAAATGTTTGTTATTACCTTGCCAAGCTTGCTCTTTTGAAGTCTGACATGAAGGAGTTAAAAAGGTATTATGAACAAGGCCAAGATGCTGAAGAAAAAAGGCTGCCTTTCCTGAGACGTGTTGATATACCTCTCAAGGATATACTGTCTCCAATCTACCAGCTTTTTGCTGATTTACCGGAACGGGCCAGGTGTGGCAACAAAGCTTGCACCAAAAAGGTCAAGGAAAGTGAGCTGAAGTCGTGTGCTGGGTGCAGAACCAAAAAATACTGCAGCAAGTGAGTAGAAATGTAAAATTTAATTGTATTAGCCTCTTAAAAAGAAAAACAGCACCGCATACCACTCAGCTGTGGTATTTTTGGCTTTAACCAGAAACGACAGGGAACTGTTATGAATGAAGCTCCAAAAGTATGGCTCAAGATTTGCCTCTGTCGGAGCTTTTTCTAGGACACTTAAGAATCTTCGGGCTTTCCTTTAGAAAATTCCATTTTGGATTTTGATTGACCTGATATCGAGTGGACTGTCAATGAAAACAGACCTTGTCAGTGGTAAATATCTGGCTGAAATTTAACTATAGTTAACATAACACTTGACCAAATAACTATGACGCACTGGTGAATAAGCCAACAAGAGATATGAAAGTATTAGATCAGTTCTTTGTACCATCACTGGTCATCATCATCATCATCATGATCATCACTATCATAGTCATCACCACCAACATCATCATCTGCATCTTCGTCATCATTGTCATTATTATTATTATTGAACTGAAGAAAACTTTACTCATTAGGTCATTTTTAAGGGAGTAGATGGCTGACCACAACTCGCTGATGATTAAATTTTGCTAACCCCATCCCTGTGCTCTCCAAAGTATCGATTTAGATTTAGATATGCAACCGTGAAGTTACTTTCATGCAAATGCATTGGTATAGATATAAGAGCTGAAGCCATGAAATAATGGGTTTAAATGAAAAGGGTTTTTAGCTGATTCATGTAAAACACTAAAAAACATTTAGGGTTGAAAGCTACGCCAGAAGAGTGGGACCTGAATGGGGAGGAAGCGAGAAAATCACTTGTCAAGGCTATCAAAAATAATGAAAACAGCAATATTATTGTACCTGCAATGGCCTTTCTCTTATCTTAAACTTTTTAGGGTCTGTCAAAGAGCAGATTGGAAGGAACATAAATCCGCATGCACTGCTTCCAAACAAGGCAAGACAAATGCCAACAGTAATTAGGATTATTATATCCTCTTCCAAATGATTACTGGAAAGGACAAGTGTGCAGAAAGTTATGTCTAGCTGAAGGTCCAACATCTGAGTTCTGGCCTAAGAAGTTCCTATGGTTGACTGAGCACAAACCTTGAGTTGTCACTGTCTGAGAAACGAAACACAGCTCCTCAAAAAACGAAGACATAGTCTGTTTGATATCGTGTAAATTATCTTTCGAATTTACTTGGTCGGTTTGACTTCACGTGAGGGATCCCCTTGTGATTCCGTGAGTACAACAAGGACAACAAGAAGCAACTGACTGTTGCTTTTGGCAAATTTTCTTAGATATAGTGAGGGCTCTGGGGAAATTCATGTACATTATTTTCTTGATATTTTAAGCGGGTTGGATTAAACACGATAAGTTTGAAAAACTTGAATTCACCTTAAGCAATGACAGCAGCAATGGCAACGAGAACGAGCGTTTCTAGTATGTTTTCCCAGATTTTAGATTCAACAAATGCAAAATTGGTAGTAATTATTGTTTATCCAATGGCCTACTGAAAATTAAGGTTGGATACAAATCTGTTGTTGAAACCATGAACCTCAGAGGCTAGGGTAAGGGTTCCTTGAATATCGCAGGGACATTTGTTGCATATTTTATTAGCGAACTGTTTACATGAGAAACACTAAGTTTGCTAGGCTAGATGGATGACCCCACCTAGCCCGTCACCTTTTTGTGATGGTAGGGTCACCCTCCTAGCCAGGCTAGCTTTTCTGCGTATTAACAATTAAGTTCGCCTAGCGTAGTAAACTCCGTCAAAGCAAGAGCATGGACAAGTGCTGTTGGCTCCAACAAAGGGGTCAACTATTTTCTCATGTTGAACGTTTTCAAATGATGTCACGTTAAGTTGGAGCCCAAAACAATGAAATGGTGGCCATGTTGGTGTCCCAGACCAGTCCTGTGAGAGTTGAACTCTTTTCTTATGCAAAAACTTTCTTTTTCTTTCAATAAATTTACATAGCTGCTGGTCACATGAGTGAAAGTCCTCTCTTAACGCTCACTAAAGTTGTCTCGGCTGGGAGAGTGACCATTCTAGATCTACCTGGGATAGGTTTTCCCATAGTTTATTTTGACCATTGTTGGATTGTTAAAGAGATTTAACCAAGGCCAAAAGCAAAGCTCCCAACGGATGCTTTAAGAAATGTCCTTCTCAAGTAATTTAACTTTTTCCGTAAGCAGAGAGCAAACTGAATTCCACCTGTAAAAAATTGACCTGAGCCCGTGATCAATTGAAAACCAAAAACTGGTCAGTGGATAACTTTAAAAAGTATGTCACCTCCGTAAGTTGTATACTTGAGCCCATGATACAGTCATTTGACACTGGTCAGCAGATACCCTTTCAATTGATCATAACATGGATGTCCAATACCAAGTTAAACACAGATAGTATAGTAAGTTATGCCTCAGATTAAAGTGTGACATTTGACATCGGTTTACGTGTGGTGTACAGACTGTTGGTCGCTGGGCGTACACTGAACCAAAATTTCTTGGAAATAGTAAGTTATGCCTCAGATTAAAGTGTGACATTTGACATCGGCTTACGTGTGGTGTACAGACTGTTGGTCGCTGGGCGTACACTGAACCAAAATTTCTTGGATGGATCGATTACCAAATTTTCTTAGCAATGGGGCTCTGCCCGTGCAGGCTTTAAGTGCGCATGGAGCTGCTATAAAGACCATATGATAATGGGCCTTTGTCACACAGTGGCCATTTTGTCCGGAGAGACACTGTTATTTATGTCTAGACTAAAATAGCTTTGATTTACCTGTCTAGCCTCACTCCCAAGTTTTTCACTGGGAGGTCGAGGGTGGTAAAACAGCTTTTTCAGTCTCTCAGGACAATATGGCCACTGTGTGAATAAGACCCATGATGCTCAACACAATTCCCTTGAAAAGGATACAATATTCAGGTGTTTTCAAACTTGGTACAATAAATATTGATAGCCATACTGTATTTCCTAGAATAATAGCTGGGGGTAATTATTTCTTTTCCTCTTGCCTCTGTTAGCTAGGCTATTTTGCAGGCAAGGATCAAAGTGTTTTAATAAACTTGAAATTTGAACTTGTATTGATAGTGGGTTACCTGTAGTGGTGGGAGGGGGCCGATTATTGGAGGGAGCTAGGCAATTATTTTAAATATTTCTGTCAGAGGGGGCGATTATTCAAGGGAGGCGATTGATCATGGGACAGCTATTATTCAAGAAGAAACGGTATATAGGATATTGAAAAAACTGCAATAAAATGATGCGGTCACCTTGCCTTTTTCTGCTCTGCGTGCTTGTAGTGTTCTTTCCCAGTTATGTGCAAAATAAAAACTTGAACAACTGTCAAAAATTCTTATCATAGCAAAAAGTACAAATCTTACTAAAATATAGAGTCCGTTTTGTTTGTTTAGGCTATAATGTTTCAGTAAAATGACTAATTACATGATCTGCAAAATGCAAAATCTGTGACAAAAATGGACAGTTTTTAACATGATATCTCATAATAAATCTCATACTCCTCTGTGGCTCCAAGGAGTTTCACATCATGAATCTCTAAATAGTACATTTTTTACCTTCCAAATTTTTTTCTCCTTAAAATATTATATTTTTCCTGAAGCCACAACAAGTAAAAAAACATTTACAAAAAGGAGGGGTCACGTTTTCGTTTAATTGCAAAATGACAACAAAGGGACAAATAGTAATTTTCCGCGAAGGGACTGGCTCGAGTTTCAAGACTAGAACCTTTTGAGCCTAGCCTAATTGCTTAGCCTGCAAAACAGTAAGCAAAACAGGCGCTTCTATATGCGCCTCACTTGACTCATAAAGTGCCTGTTTATATGCAGGCTATTTGAGCCAGGAAGAGTTACAATTTGGACTCCAAAAGGCATTAATTAATGGAAAAAAGTAATATACAAATGAATAAGGTTTTTCCCACACTTTAAGACATTTTAGTAAGAAACATGCTGTACTTACTTTTGAGGAGGTGGTCCATTATTTTCGAACTATTTTCCCGGAAATTTCTGATAAATGGTAAACACTCTTGTTCCTTCTCTGCTGCTCCCACTCCCAAAAGTGTCAGCTGTCCTGGACAAAGCAGGCGAGCCCCAAACGACATACGCAACCTTCCAGGCTTCCGTCTTTTGTTTCGTTCCACCGTCCAAATATCCAATAGTTCATTCCAGTCAATTTTTTGAACAAGCTATCTCTCTTTCTAATCCCGCGGGCGCGTGGTCACAGGAGAAAATTCGCCTTGGCAGGTTTGTCTGTCTTGTAGCAGGTAAAGGCAAGCTTTTCGGTTTCTTTTGTTATCATTCTGGAGAGGATTTTGGACTATCGTGTTAATTCCAACGGGTTCTTTGGTACAGATCGATCGTCATACCTCAAAGGATCTATTCTGTGAGTTAAAAAGCTTTAATTAATTGTTAACAATGTAAAAATATTTGTACAGCCCGAAAAACAGAAACGGAGGGCTTAAAATAAGCTTACGTCCTAGTAATAGTTGACACTACACCTGCCCCCGCTCTGTATATTGTCGGTCAATAGTATTCTTGGTCGTTGTGTAGCTCTTTGAAAGATATCGATTCATAATGAAGAGTTCCACACATATTCCGTTCAATAGGTAAGATAAAAACAGCAAACGCGGCGCGCGCGGTTCCATGCACAGCTTCAGTTCGATTTACACAGCTTTGATCAAAACATTCTCAGTTTCGAGAATAGTTTATTCTAAACCATAGATTTAATTAGAAGTTTAATTTTTCGCTATTTCTCTTTCACTTTTTACATACAGTTCATTTTATTCGCCGGAAAGTAAAATGACGTTTGATCAATTCACGCTCGCGCATTCTTGGCTTATCACAGGCCGCCCAAGCTAACTACGGGAACTCGGACGTGACTCTTGCTTGCGAACGGTGTTGTGTTACAAACGGTTATCTTTTGTATGGGATGTAAACGGTTTTTCTTAAAAGAGATAAAAAATGTTATGTTTTTAAATAACATCGACTTACCTTATTGCCCTGTTGTATTC